AGAATCCCGCCGAAAAGTATATTTTTTAAGGTTCAGAAATAACATTAGAACCTTTTGTAACTTCATTCTATTCCTTTAAAAATACTTTGAAATAAAAATAGTTGCACTTTATTTGAGTTTTTAATCCTGTTGATGACGTTTTAACGCACAAATTTGAATAAATTTTTGTAAAAATAATTAGTAAAAAATATTAATATTATAATATTTATTTATTTAATTTTTATTTATAAAATTTATTTACGAAGTATTCCAAGTAACTGTTTTGGAAATATTAAATTTTTGGTTGGGAAATTGTTCAAATACAAATGTAAAAGTATTTGTAGTGCTTCTGTTTACTTTTTTTTATTGAATATAATATTCTCATAAACCCATAAAATATATACACATTACTTAAATAAATTAAATGGAAAAGAGTGATACATTTCGATCAACGTAAACATATTTTACGAATATTTCATAGCAAATGAAATTTTGTTTAATATTTGAGAACCTGGGAAATCCATAATTCTCGTAATTGCATTTCGTTTAAGCGTTTAATCATTCAAATGGTTGCATTAGGTGCTATATTGATCTCAAATGTTTGGAGAGAATTCTACGAAAATGCAGTTTAGTTCGCCAACAACTCGATATTTTATTGAATATAAGTAAAAAGTTTGGTTTATTTTGATTCTTCTGGAGTATTGCATTTCTTGCAGTAAATAAAAAAAAAGCAGACGATTTTCAAATTATGATTTGAATCTTTATAAATAAAAAAAAGAAGAATCCATTCTACTTTCCTTATCAACTTGTTTTGTTAATTTACTTTTTGGAAATTTAACTCTCAGATTTGCCCTCTATCGAGAAAAAAAAATAGTAAAAAAAAAAGAAAAAAAAGAATTTTGTTTTTGGAATTCCACATCACGCAATGCTTTATGATGTATCTAATCTAGAAAATAAATTAACTCTATCGACATTGAAACGCAATTACATTTTTATAAGTAATAAGTAAATGGAAGAAAAGAAATTGTGATTAGAATAAAGAAGTGCAAGCAAAATTTACGAGGAATGGTATGCATTTGAAGCTTTAATTTAAAAATTTCGATGCCCGAAAATGATAATTTTAATCTATAACCCGATAATTCATGTTGCACAGAAACACATAATTTGAGATTTTTTTTTCTTGTAAATAAAAATGAATATGTAAAAAAATCTTGGGCAAGCTATGCTTTCTTTTTTAGGTTATTAACACAGATTTATAAAGATGTATAATCCCATATAGCTTATGTATAAAAATACTACCGATTTAAATTTTTCTTTGTTTTTTGTGTATATAATAGCTAATGTGAAACTGAAATTCCGGAAAAATGTATATTAAACTTATCTTGATAAGGCATATTTTTGGAGTAAATACTTCTTCAGAAATTTAAGGTATCCGACTACCCTAAAATCATGATTTTTTTCAAAAATTGACAAATTTTTTTATGATTTTATTTTATAGGCCATCTTATTAGCTTTAATAATTTACCAAGTCTTTTATTTTCCATTCACTAGAACAAAAACTACAAGTGTTTTAGTAAAAGCAGATGCCATAACTTTAAATAAGATGTCAAATTTTAAAATGCGTTTTTTTTCGAAAAGCTCAAACAGGGACAGCGATTGCTTAAAAAGATTTGAAAATAATTAACTGAATTTTTTGGTGTACGTTCTGTATAATAGTAGAAGTATTTTAACACCTTCAGAGTTATGAATCAATGTTTTATTACAAAAGTTACAGTCCCTTAAGTGAACATAATCTCTGTTTTTTTTAAGCAATTTCATATAACAACTAAGATAAAGTGCTGTAGTTTTTGTAAAAATTAAAATATCTCTTATCCTGAAGGTCATTTCAAAAAGGAACAGCAAAGTAATACATCAAAATTGAAAAATTGAGAATTTGTTCAATTACTATTTGTACAGAGCGCACCCCGTTTATATAATTTTTTGTCAATTTTTCCCATTTTAGTAGTAATAATTTATTTTTCTCTTCTTAATTTTAGCCTTTTTCTCTTAAAATGTACTAAATAAATCTAAAAACAACAAAAAAATCTCCATATCTCTATTTTTTTTACTAAAAGTTGTCGCAAGTAGTCGGATAACTTAAGGTATAATTAATGTCACTTATGTTTAATTTGTGTTAACATACAGACGTTCAAAAATTCTTTTTGATGGTATTGATATTTAAATACTTTTTTGTTAAATCTAAAAACATGTAAATAGCACATTTTTTACATTTAAAAAAACTACGCAGTTTCTTTTAAATATTTAAGAAAGACGTTAAATGCCTAACAAAAGTGAAAAATATTCTATATATATTCAAGCGGTTCAAATTTATTTGAATTAGTTTATGTGAAAATAAAAACCTAAGCAGCGTGTTAAAATTACGTTACCGATATAGATTTACTACTTCGAGTAGAGGTGCTTCAAGTCTATGATATTACGTGATATTTGACTTAACCGTTACAGGGTCTCTTCGATTTAAAATCGAGCTCCATTCCGATTAATTGGTCATAAGTTGAATTTATAGTTTTCAACATTTAATAAAACAATTCTGAGGATCAAAAACTATGTCACATTAATATTATTAGTTTATGAAAGAGAATATCACTATAATTTTTGCAATCCTTCGAAAGTTTTTCATGATTTATAGGGTCTAACTTTGTTTTTGACTAATTTAAAAGGTTAGAATCATAGAAAGCCGGAGAATCAAACAAGACGGACCAAAAACTAGATATATAATTCTTTCAAATAAACTATATAATTTATAAGTTATCAGCTTAATATAATAAAAATAGGCTTCATCTTAAGGCCAACATTATTTTTTTTAAAAAAAATTAAGAAAATGCAAATTGCAACTAAACATTCGAGAAGTTAAAGATGTTTCTGGAAGCCTAAACCTGTCATATTTCAAGTTAAACCCACGTCAATGTTAGTAGGTGATTCTTTCAGGCGAAGGAAGGGTAATGTGCTCACCTGTTCTTACAATATTAATTTCACCTTCCTACTGCATCTAAGAATGGTGTTATATATG